TCACATTAACTGGTCACATTAACTGGTCACATTAACTGGTCACATTAACTGGTCACATTAACTGGTCACATTGAGTGATGATTCAATGTGACTGTTTATCATGTGTTATTTTATCTCATGCTGCTGCTGTTGAAGGTGGTGATAGTGATAGTGAAGGGGTTACTATTGCTATTGTTGATGTTGATAATGATGATAATAATGGATGTTATTGGTAATGGCGATGATGATGATGGTGGTGGTGGTGGTAATCAAGGGTGCTGTAGGTGATAATGAGGGTAATATTCATGATATTTGTGGATAGCGGCTGTAGTACTTTAGCTAATATTATTCTTACCTTGGCTTATAAAGCAGCTCAGCTGGAAGAGTGTTTCTTTTGACTTCACTTCTGGTTCTTCAGGGGCTTCAACACATTTCATTCTAATCATAAAGTCAAGAAATTCTAACTTGCCAAGCTTCACACAAATATATCAGATTTTTCAGAATCATTTTCCTTCCCCCCAGTTATTTGACTAAGGTATCATATCTGACATAACAAAGGATACATTGATTCTGACTCAATACCTATAAACACAACAGAAAGAAGGAGAGCATAATTGAGTTACTGGTATTTGGTTTTACAAAAATGTTAATAGAACAAGGGATCATATAGCTCCAGCTTCTAATTATTGGATATTATCATAGGTTTTTTGGCTAATAGATGGAAGTTTACAATCTACTTTAGAGCCTGAGTGATAACATAAGATGATACAATCAGGGCTTAAAACAACAGCTGGACATTGGACAATGTCAGAATTGGAATTTGTCCAGTTAAATCTTTGCTTTGCTAGTAATTTTGAACAGTTATGTAGAGACAGAAATAAGGTCATGACTAAGCTAAAGCTGTGATCATGACCAGCAACTGATTGGTCATTTTTTTAAGTCCTGATAATATTAACTCCTTACCAAAATACTGGTCCATGAAACCCTTGTTGGATGGTGCAGCCTTTTCTTCAGTTCCTTCAACACTGGCTGTCTCACCAGGTAATTTCTGTTGCAATATTCTCACAACCTGTGTCCAGCATTCATTGGCATCCTATAAACAGTAAAACATGTTATTTATCTATAATAACAAAAAAATAGTGTTTTGTTAACGTTATAAAATGAATACCTGTTGAGCAAAGACTCCTTGTTCTGTCTTCTCTGCAAACTGAGGAAAAGCTTTGTGCAAAACCTGAGAGGATGAAGGTATAAAACCAAAGTTATAGCATCAATATGTACTAGATAAGTATTTCTTCATATATAATGAATGACAAAAGGGGCAGATAACAGTGATGATGATGATGACAATGATGATGATGATGAGTGACAAATAGCTATGGTATCATTGTCAGATGATGATGATGATCTAGCTTTCATGGCATATGTTTTATCATGATGTAACAGTGTCATACTGACACTCTTTCAAAAATCATTAGTTAAAAGATAAACAATACAATTTATTTTTCAACAGTTAGCCTTGAGTGTGGTTTTAATATCCTGATGGATGGTTCTATTTAATCAGCTCTTTAAATTGCTCTGACAAACAATCCTTGTTTGAGTTTCATTCACATTAATTTAATTTATCTTTTCGATCACTATTGGTAAATGTTAGAATATTACTCAAGGGAATGACACTTGTTATTACGTGATTCAACCAACCTGTAAAAAGATTATGGGTGGAAAAGTTTCAGAAGTCTTATCCATGCTGTTATACAAGTCCCTCATGGCAACAGTAACAGACTCTGGTGAACCCAAGTCACCACCGATCATTAACTGACCAGAATACCTGGAAATATTACAAAATGTTATATCTTCTTAACGCTGCACTGCACTTCTTTGAACCCTTTGACAATATTTTCAGTACTGGTTCTGCATAACGTAAATAGTTGATTGGTAAAATATTTCTTGATTTGAGTGATGCGTCTCTAAGTTATGAAGGTTTATACTTCCATCATGCATCACTCAAAAATCTGTACAATACAATACGAACAATTGCTTACTTGGAAAGATTAGTCTTAAGTTCAGGTACATTACGAAGACATTGTATTGTGGCATTCATGTAACAGGTGTTACCAAGATTGTTCAGTCCTGCTGGCAGTTCATACTAGAAAATGAAAAGCAAACATCACTATGTATACATATCAATAGGTATTCCAGGTATTTTAATATGCTGCATAATCCAATTAACTAAATAATTAATTCAGACAGTCAGACTCTGTAATGCATCAGTCATTATGTCTGTCTGCCTGCTGATCTGTCCATCAAAATCAGTCTGTCAATTCACTGACATTAATAACTTTCTGGAGTACAGAAAAAGCAAAATGGCTGGCTCCAGGATGAGAAAGATTCCCATTTTACTGTTGTTTGACTTACTGCTGAGGCAAGTTGAGAATCAGTCATATCTTCTACAAACATGGTCTTCTTTTGTGGTGCTTGAGGTATCTCTCCAGCTGATCCCATCATCATTAATGTCACTCCCTATATCCAACAAAATAAATAGTAAGTCACATGTCCTTTTATTTGATGTTATAGGAAAAGTAACAAGTATGCTGTACTAGAAAGCAGTAAGCTGTTTTTAAGTTGGCAGCCTACTATAGAAAATGAAGCTACTGTACTGTACTTCTTTTCTTCAAAAAATATTGATAAGTTTATGTTTAATAGTGAATATCTCAAAAACAACCTCAGGGAACCCCTTTTTTCTCATGTTGTAAACACTACTTAAATAAAAACAACAGCTTGTCTCATACAATCACTTATTAATCATGTAAATTATGTAACGGATCACTGGTGCATCTTTCCTTTATAAATTTTTCTGTTTTTTTTNTTTTTTCATCTTTTCACGGTGTATAATTTACCTTTTCATCATTACTGTTTCATTAGAAACACCGACGCAGCTCACACTAGTTTTTAGCTAGTTATCTCTTCTTTTTTATACGAGGACAAGCCATTTAACTATTTTTGTGCATTCAATCTTGTACTTAGTTGTGAACAAGGCTAAGGCTGTAGTTCTGGTTGTACTGGGAAGTACAGACCTAAGTAAGGACAGTGGCCGAGTAAGGAATCCCGACTAACAGCCACACCGACTAAGGAAAGTCTTTTTGGACAACCTGGCTCTGCTCTAGTTTGTGTAGATTTGACACTGAGCTCGACAGACCAGAGATTCCTTGCGTACCGTAGTCTTTCATTATGTATAGTATAAGATGTGAATGTTTTCCTAGCAATTTCATTTTTTGGTTGGCTTCTAATTGATTTCTCGTTTCCATAGTAACATACCTGTCGTGTCGTCTTGCAGTAGCGAGCATCGACGGAGTACCATGTGGAGATACGAGCTTGACTATCAGGTTACCACGGTAACGGTGACGTAAATTAACCTTAAAGGATAAGGTGAGAATCCAATGAATACGTGTGTACTTAAAAAAACTTCGTGCCGTGGGCTTTTCACAGTCAAACGAAAACTGCTCTGTGTTGTGTTGTGATGTGATGTGTTGGTGTTGTGTTGTGTTGTGCTGGTGTTGTATTTTGTTGTGTTGTGTTGGTGTTGTGTTGTGTTGGTGTTGTGTTGGTGTTGTGTTGGTGTTGTGTTGGTGTTGTGTTGTGTTGCTGTTGTGTTGGTGTTGGGGGGGGGGGGGGGGGGGAGATAGCTTTCTAGTTTCTAGTGGGTTTGGAGTTTTTAGTTTCTAGGGGGGAGGGGTGGGACAGATTTGACATCAATAAGTATTCATTAGTCCTAGAATTGATTTCAATTGTAGATATTGATTTTGTTTCTATATGTTAGTTAGGTTAGATAGGTGCCCCCAATCAGCTGACTGTTTCTGTAAACTAGATTTTATGACATGTTAATAAATTATTAACTATTATTATCATTATTACAGTTACTTACATTTTTGAGTTTAAAACTTTCCCAGCTGTCATCCTGTATAAATAAAGGTAACCAGTTATACTGTAGCAATACTACTACCATATCTAAGTGCTACTGCGCAAAACTCTTTTATTATTTCAAAAAATAATTAAAATACTAATTAAAATGAAGGCGCAAAGAAAATTGGCTGATTCATTATGTCAGCAGAAAAATGTACAAATGTACGACTAATACACATTTAAACTTCAAAGTTTTGAATTACCATTTACTTTAACTAGGAATGCAGCGTATTCACCTTTAGTACAGCTCCTTTCAGCATGACTTTTTGACGTTCAGGGGGTACAGAAGAAAGAGCAAATAACTGGGCCTTGAACACTTCCGTTGGTTCGTCTGTATTCAGCTCCACATTTTCAAACTTCTCTTTTCCCCACTTTATGTTCACTAAAACAAACAAAAACTAGTCAGTCGGATAACCAGTAACCCTAAGTACATTTAATATTATCAAATCAAGGCTTACCTCTATAAATAGGCATTTTCGAAGAGATTTTTTGGACAGAAATTAAGAAAATTCTTTCAGATTTTTCAACACGAGATTTGGTTTCCCAGGGAAGTACGCTGACTTGTACTGATCGCGGTTAATTATATGGCTTAGTCCCTCGCGGTCTGCTGTAGGAACGCCTGGTTAAAACCTGCCAAGTGGAAAATTCAAAACATTTTCAAGAATGCAAAGTATTTTCAAGTCCATTAATTTTCAATGTTTTTAACAAATGAATTTGATATTGAGTTTTCTTGGATTTCTACATGGGTTCTAATTGTTCTGGCTTGAAAGCTGGCGGCGAGTCGTACAGTTTGGCTGGCGATAAGCATAACAAAGTTCATCATGAACCCCAGCATGGACACACAAACACTCCTAGAACAGCTGTTGATATAACAGATGCAGGAGGTAATCATGCTAATATGCAAACTGATAGTAATTTAGATGCAGAGGAGTTGAGTTCATCTAGAGATGTAAATCTGCAAGTTTCCCAGGACGAGAAGCCTCAAGCCCAACACGAATCAGGAGTTGGAACGACAACGATGGACGGGACAATGGTCTCTACTCCATCGACTAATGCTCAAAATGTTGTAACGTCTTGCAATGGCCATGCTAAGATATCTGATGCTGACTTTTCGAAACTCTCTAACATAAAAGAAGACGAAGCTAATGATATCGTGAATGAATGTTGGGTAAACATCGAGAGAACCTGTGACGTTAGTGCGGAAGCGAACAAAAACGTATTAATTCATGCTACAGGATGGAGGGTTGTGAGGTTGTTTGTGTCATCTACGTTTGCTGATTATCATGCAGAAAGAGAATTGTTAGTGAAAAAGGTATCCCAAACTTTTGATACATGTTAAAAGAATTCCCATTTAAGTCCCATACTTTTGTTCATTTATTTAATATTCCATTTCATAGGTTTTCCCAGAATTGCGTGAATGGTGCGAAAGTCGTCATATTCAGTTGATAGAATGTGATTTACGGTGGGGTGTTCCTAAAGACTCTACCACAGAGATGACAATCAAGACTTGTTTGGGAGAAATCGATAGGTGTAAAGAAGAATCTAATGGGACTCCTTTCTTTCTTAATATGTTGGGTGAAAGGTAGAGTAACATGGTCAACAAAATGCATGATTCTCACTATGTGTGTAATGCATGGTGCATTTATCCCATCCATTCAGCCATCCATCTATCCATCCCATCAATCCATTCACTCACCCACGCCACCTGCAGGGACACTATGGATATTACATTACAATGCATACCCATCCATCCACCTAGATCCATCTCATCCATCCATCCATCCATCCATCCATCCATTTTTCATCTATCTTCATATTTTCTATCTAAATGTTGACAATAATCTCTAGGTATGGTTGGATGCCAGGTCCAAAGAATATTCCCCAGGACATACAGCAACAGTATGATTGGGTTTTTCCTGCCTCCATTACTCACATGGAAATCCTTCATGCAGCTTACAGAACCAAAAATCCAAATGCTGCATTTTTTATCAGGGACCCTAGTTTTCTGGATAAGATTCCATCAGACATGCAGCCATCATTTGTTGATGGTTTTCCTTTGAGTAAAGTATCACTCAAGGTAAGTACTGCCCACTTTGTTTTATGGCTTTATGTTATTTTGTTGGCACTTTTTTTAACCTTTATGGGTAACCTTCCACAGGTACTTTACCCGGGATGCGACAAAAGAAAACATGGAGAAAAAAACTGCTGTTATAGTACTTATTTATGATTATACTTACAGTCACAACAGAGATCAAATCAGTAGTTTCATATTTATTTTTAGATGTTAAAGAAGAAGCTAAAAGAAAGGTTTCCCAGCCAAACATTTGAATACTCTTGTGAATATGATGGAATTGATGATTCTACAGGAAGACAGAAGGTAGTGCTTCAATGCAGAGACTCAGTTATATAAAAGAATACTATTATATATTTTACAATATGTACTTTACATGCTCTGCAGTAACAACATTTCCAACATTTTGTATAAATCAACTGACATTTTTTGGTTATATGAAAATGGAGGGTGATTTACATGTGCAGTTGATTTTAGGTGAAATTGAAAGGGCTCGAGGAGTTTGGACAGAAGGTTTTGGAGCAATTTAAATCATTTATTGAAAGAACATTCCCATCGTCACAGCAGGAACTCAGCCCAGAAGAACTAGGTGAGATCAGTGAACCATATCCATTTATTCAGGTCAATTTTTCTTTTGCTTTTGTCAAACATGTACATCAAAGATATGTGGATAAATTAAGGGAGTGTCATTCCCTTTTGTATTGCGTCGACTTTGGTGGATACTCTCACAGCCTATTAACACAAATGAGTTTTAGGAAATAAGTGCTACATATTTCATTCAATTCATTATGTAAATTTCTTTGTATCCAACTCAGACCTCCTCACCCAGGACAACTTCATCAGGTCTAAAGGTTCTTTGCTGCTGGGAAGAAGCAATGAAATTGAGAGTATTGTTGAGTATGCAACTAATGGTTGTCTTCCTGGACAGTCAAGGGAGAGTTCAAACGACACCTGTCCAATACTACTTGTCCAAGGAGTTCCTGGATCTGGCAAATCATCTCTCATGGCCTACTGTACTTTGGAAGCCAAAAAGGTACACGGGAAAAAAATTCAAGGAAATTCCCAACCAATCCCCATTTTTGGAATCCGTTGAGATTCCTCTAAAGTTTTTAACATCTTAAAATCAGATAGTTTAGACCGAATATTGGGAAACAAATATTTTTTAACCGTATAAGCTGGTTTGAAGCCCAGAACTGTGACAGTAAATTTTATTTTGCATAATGTGTTGGATTTTATTTCTTGATTTCAGCTTGACTGTCTGTTATTCTATCATTTTGTTGGTTCTGGACCAGGAACTACTGATCCCATCATACTAACAAATAGACTGTACAAATGGCTCAAGCAAATCACTAACACAGGTATTACCAAGCACTTCAGGCATCAGAGGAGTAACATTTTTTTTTGCGCAAGGTTGATAAATGCAACAGTCGTATAAAGCTGCTCTGATGCGCAGGACTCATTAAAGACATCAAAAATTTTGAACACACTGCAGTATTTTTTCAGTATATGTAGTGATTTTACACAGCCTTTGCTCAGTCAGCAGAATTTCTAAAGAAACAGAGTCTGCAAATAATGGTATCAGGACATTTATATAATCCTGAGGTGTATCTGAGCAATTTGATATGAATGAGCAGCAACCTCATGAGCTTTGATTGGTCAAAAGGTTTGCATAAGTTATGTACAGTGACCTTGCTGTCTCTTGTATGAGGATGACAAACCCCAAATCTTAAAATAAATATTCAAAATATCTTGATATTCAGAAACTGAAGATGAAGAAAAGGATAAGGACATCTCTTATGAACTCATTAAAGAGAAAATTGACAAAGTTAATGAAGAAGTCAAAAAACTGGACAAGAAAATCGTAATCATCCTTGATGCTCTAAACCAGGTAAAACACTCAAATCACATTCATCACATCATGAGATAAGCATCTAGATTAGCCTTTGTGCAGCACACAGTTATAACTCATCTGGTTTAGACTTTTTTAAAGGAGAAAATTTGGGATACATGCAAGCTAAGCCAGAATTTACACACACACACACATCCAGAGCTAGACTTAGAGATCATTTGACATTTTTTTGTTTTTCAAGTATTCTCGGAACATCAGTTTTTCTTTGTGTGTGCATTAATACGGCCTTGTTCAGTATATTAAATTATTACTATTCTTTACTTTTTTTCATTACTGAGTTAATAAATTAGTATGTTTGTACTGCTACTGTAGCTGTCTGATGCTGACAAATCTACCCATCACCTCTACTGGTTGCCAAATGCCTTCCCTTCAAATGTCTGTTGTATAGCAAGTGTTGTAGAAGGAAGTCGGTCTGCCAATATTCTGCTTCATGAAGATAGAAATCCAAGGCCACTAGAGCTGCATGTTGGTGCTTTAGATAACTCTGCCAGGAAAGAAATTGTTCAGCACATCCTTGGTGCATATAACAAGGTACAGATACCACACTTAACAACATGAACATCTGTACTTGCAGTGCCTGAGGACTGTAATATATCCTCACTGAATACCCAATATCATGTCATAGTAATTATTAATCCGTGACCATTGAGATATGAGGCAAACAGTGAGGAAGAAGGACATGAACAGCACTGCCACCAGGGAAGGGGGTGGGACTCTGCGTCCGATGTTTCAAACAGCATTGTGCAACAAGAAGTGTGCGGAGTTAATTTATACTACTCTGTGCTAATTAATTAAGGAGTGAGGTAGCTTTGCCATTTTTAAGAGGTCATCACCTGCTTCTGTGTCAATACTGTAAGTTTGATGAACCTTTTTTGTGTAGAAACTGGATGATCAACAGATGGATCTCCTGATCAGCCTAGATGGTGCTACCAACCCATTATGGTTGTCCCTATCCTGTGAAGAGTTGAGAGTGTTTGGTGTTTTTGAGAGGGTAACAGATCACATTAAGAGCTTTCCAGACTCTTTACAGGGATTGCTGAAATTCATCTTGAAAAGACTTGTTTCTGAAGATGAATTCCAAAATGTGGAAAAGGTAACAGATTATTCCCCATGCTTTTGCATTTCAAACCTGTTAAGAACCATATCATTTTTACTTCATTTTAACTGTGTTTGGCTGTCACATCCATCAACAAAAGACTCTGCACTAGAAAGAATTAGTTCTATATGACTTTGAAAGTACAAATGATCGATTGCTCGGTGCCATACATTTGACATTGTTGTTCTCTCTTGAGAAGTAACTTTGAGCTCCATGATTGGTTTACTGAAATAATATCTTCAAAATCGAACGGTTATCATGAACGTGTCATGCACCATGATTGTTCTTCACACACTTGGGATAGGAAAGTCATGTCTGTTTGAACTGCAGTTTTTGATATTTTGCAAACTCGGTAGTTACAAGCTGCATGCTGAAAATTCACGACAGGCCGTTAAAATGTCTGAGTTCACAGAATATCAAAAACCACAGTAAAATGAGTATAATATGAGTAACTTGCACAATCTCTCAGGTCCTCCGTGTCTTGGAGTGCATGAGTATGACAGAGACAGAACTAAGATGGATAATAAAGGATGGTGAGTCTGATGAACCCCTTCCCATGATGCAATGGGCTGTGGTGAGACGAACACTCAAGCCTTTCCTAAGGAACACGGGTCAGCAAGGACAAGAGGAAAGGCTGGATTTCTTTCATGCATCAATCAGTCAAGTGAGTAACTGGAAAACAGCATTCACAGATAGTCACATCAGATGCAGTTTTAGTTTGATGTGCAATCAGTGTCTTAAGTCTATCCCATCACATTGATAACATGATGTAGTAACGTATTTGAAAGGCTGTGGTGCAAAAATATCTATCTTGAATGACAGAGGACTATTCAACGAAGAACACAGTTGGTTGACAGTCGTGATGAAGCATACAAACATTTCAACCTTTTCCCAAAAGTGTGCTTTATTAGCAGCTTTTTAGTGCTAAGTTCAGCATGATGTTTGCTCCCATATGTAGGTTGTGAAGGACACACTCATGACAGATCAGCAAGAGAATGTTAAGTGGTACTTGCGAATATCAGATTATTTCCAGTACGTCTGCAAAGACAATAACAGAGCAACTGAGGCTGTTGCAGTTCAACTTAAAAATGCTGGTGCAAAAAAGAGGCTTCTTGATTACTTGAGAAATGACTATCGTCCTCGCAGGATGCAAAATGTCTGGAAAAACAAGTTTTACAAGGTAAGGGTTGTCTAAGAAGAGGCAAACCATGACATATTGGCTGTTGAATGATAGGGAGGGAGAATACTCAACCATAGATGTTATGTTTGTGAATCAAGATTCATAATCGAAACACAAATTATATTATTATATTATTTTGTTCCTCACAAGTTTCTTCAGTGTGGTCAAATAATCCCCAAAATACAAAACCTGAGAGAGGAAGTCTCCCTGTGTCAGATGTGTGGGATGCAAAACCAAGGGCTTGGTCAACTTGCAGGACTCAACAAGAATGTTTGTGTCATCTGTGGTCAGCACATCCCATCATTTTGGCAGGAACCACAACATATTGCATTATTGTGTCAGCGTCACAAGCCGATGCACGCCCCTGGAAGGAAGATATGTTTTCTGTGCAATAGACCAGCATTCCAAAATGCTACAACAGGTTACACATGTATGGTTTGTGGTGTGGGCTTTCAAAAATGTGTCAAGATGGTCACCTAGGGATGCAATAAACTACTTTCACTTACAAAAACATCGCCAACTGTCACCATCAAGGGGTTCTATCTGGAGCTCATAAGATAATAAAAGTAATATTGCACTTACGAGAACATCACTGACTGTCACCTTCAAAAGGTTCTATCTGGAGCCCATAGGATAATTAAAAAATATCGATCATTCAAGTGACTAAGATCAAATTTTGAACTTCACATGAGCTCAATCATGATATAAAATAGGCTGCCTTATTATCTATTGTTTTCAATGCATACAACTGACATGTGAAGTTCAACATTTGACTTCTTGTCTAAATCTCTAAATTCTTTGTGATGGAGTTCATACCATAAGAAGTTAACTAACAAAATTGTACAAATTAGTGCAAATTTTGTAGGTCTACAGTGTACTGAGGTGCGCTGAACTTACTATTTCTTATGAAGTTTTTCAGACTGAGACCAGATATTGCAAAAAGCCAAGACTTATGCATAAAATAAATCACATACATTCAAAATGTTATTAATTTGGCACCATATAAAATATACAAAAAAAATGTAAGGAACAATAAATAAGAATATAGGTGTCAAAAACTTGGAAAGGCACTTCTGTACATCAAGTAATTATTTTACACATTTTAAATTGCATATTTCTGATAAATCATAACAACAAAATGATGTTGATGCACATATTAATGATAAAGTAAATTAATGTTTTTATATTATGACTATAACAGAAGGCACAAAGATATATCTCTTGCCTTAAATGAAGAACATTTCTAAGTGAAAGATTTTTAAAAAAATGAAAGGTAGTTAAGTTTATCAGATGATTTCAGTCTGTCTTTTCAAACTTATTCATACATAACAAAAAATGTAGGTGAGCACAATGATGTGATCTACAACACATTGGGCATTACAACATCCTAGTTGAGTTGCTCCAACAGAAAGAGTTGGACTTGATTTCTTTTGGAATCTTCACTGTTACAGCATGGCACTTTTGCCTTCAAACTAACTCAGACTGTTGGAAATCTGTAAAGCAATATCTATTCCATGTCCCTTGAAATACGAATACCTAAACTTTTTGCAGGTGCCACAGGATTAAGGCTGCCACTAAATCAGTCATTATCACTAATACTCCATAGTTTAGTTAATTAAGCATTACCTGCTGTAATGCATAACTTTCATTTCATCCCCACCCTCCATCCCATCCATCCATCCCAATACCATTAGAATATTTAGGTATCATAACATGGCAAATTATGTGGGATGACAGCTAGAAATTCTTTATTTTGAATAGAGTTTCACACGCGGTTATTCATATTATACAATGTTATTATTTTATTATGGTCAAGTCTAGGATACTCTTTTATCTAGTTTGCTGGTCTGTGGTAACATGTGAATCTGGCTAAGTGCCAGATCTTACTTTCTGTCATACCACAAGGTTAATATTTATAACACGACCATAGACTGCTGTCAACCGACCAGCCATACATGATTGACAAGCAATTGGTAGGTTAGTAATTTATGGCACGGCTTGTAACATCATTAAGTTGTGAATGCATTTCCAGTGACATTCAATTGACCATTTTCATTAGGAATATCTATGTCTTCAAACAGCCTATTTCCTTTGTTGAAACTGTACAAGCCATCTAGCCCTTCTTTTGAACCATAATAAATGGATTTTACAACATGCTCAGGGACTAAACGATTTTTTCTGTGCTTTGCTCTTTCAAGAACGATATCCAAAGGAACATACGGTAGTCTCTTTATTCGAATGTCATAACCTCCAGTTTTTAGCCGCTGTAAATAGTCTATTAGTTCTAAGTACATTACACAAGTTCCCTCTGCGATAAAACTGATTTTCTGATCCAAGATCCAATCAGTTAGCCGAATAGCAATTTCTCTGGCTATGGGATAAAATTCTTCAACTTTATCATAAGCAAATCCTTGTAACATTCCCATGATTTCATCTGTATCGACATACGCATACTTGGAGTAAACAGGATGACAACGAAACTCGTTTTCTATTACTGTGGTCTTTCCAACTCCCATAGCACCCAGAACAAAGATTGCTTCACCGAATAACGTTGTATTTAAGAACTGCTTTTTCCATTTTCTCTCTACCTCTTGTACTTCTGGTGTAACAATAAATTTTTCGTGATGTATCTTGGCGACTGAAGTGGTCGAAATCCCTGCAGTGCAGTTCACTTTCAATTCGTTTTTATGCTCCCCATTTTTCATCGTAAAAATACAAGACCCCCTCGCCAAATTGATCGTACAATTTTGTCTTACAGTTAATAAAGTAATGCTTGCGCAATGACGTATCTGTACCTTTGATGACAAAGCATTTCTTACTCCTAAAACTATAGCCATGTTGTCACAAGCTAAACATCCCTTCCATCCATCATGGCTGCCTGCTGGCTGCCTGTAGTACTGTAGGTATGTTGCGTCATGGGGTAATGAGGGGGCATGGTAAGGGCCGGATGGGGCTTAATAGCCCCACTAACATATAGTGCCTATAATATACCCAAAAATAAATGTATTTTACAAGTTTAAGCTTCCCGAAATGAGCATTTCAATAAGAAACTTTGTAAAACATTGTGTTCTTGATAAGCTTCAATATATATTCTTATATTTCAAACATAAAAAACAGCACAAAACCTATAAAGTAAACTTTAATCTCAATTTTTTTTGCAGTTTTCCCTACAATCATTAAATTATTCCATTAAGTAAATAAATTATACCTTTTCAGGGATAGAGAGTAAAAAATTGGAAATTAGAAAAGGCTAAGTTGCTATAGAAAAGACCTCGAAAAGACCACTTCTGAAAAACAGCTGGTTCTGACGTCATACACTATCCCAGTTTGCTTTGCAAACTGTACAATGAAAACAAAATGGCCGATCAAACGTCTGTTGCACCCAAAGTCTCTAAGGAGATTATTTACCCTGGTGAAGGCGATATTCCACGTTATGAAAATGGATCAAAGGTTGTATATATTTTTTGATTGCATTTCTTCTATCAGCAAGTTTTGAATGTATATTTACGAATATATCTTTCTAAAAATGTCAAGGGATTTGACAGCTGATTTCATACATTTTGTCTTTTCCTTACATTGTTTACTTCAGAGGTTTTGTTGTTTTATTGAATCATTTCATTTTGTTTTACCTGTTTTTCCATATGTAAGGTTAAATAAGGCTTTGCTTTTCAGCTTGGATATACTTGAGTGAAGCCTAAGTTCAAAAAAGGAAGAAAATAATAATGTGACAATATATTGCTCTTTTCAGGCGACTTTCCATTTCAAGGTTTACAAAAAGACGACTAAAGGCAGAAAGCTACTGGATTGCAGCAAGACACTTGGACAGCCATTTGAACTATTGATCGGTAAAAAATTTAAACTAGAAATCTGGGAAGAGATGATCAAAACAATGAGAATAAATGAAGTGGCAAGGTTCACTTGTGACAAAGAGGTTTGTTTATTCATGCTATTAGCATTGCTTATCATTCCTTTTAATACCTCTTTTTTTAAATAATTCTATATTTTTTAATTGTTGACAGTGTAATAATATTTCTATCTGCAGATTGTTAGAGGATATCATTTTGTCTCAAAAAATTTCCGTAATGCAGTCAAGCAGTCCAAAGGAGAACATTCCAAAGACCATGATCATCATCATCATGAACATAGTTGTAGTCTGTCAGCTGTTAATCCAACAGGGTATGCAGATCTGGATAAATTAGCCAGAAAACCAAGAGATCTTATCTTTGAAATGGAGCTCATGTCTGTGGACAATCCAGGACAGTATGAAAAGGAAACATGGCAGATGGATCCAAGTGAAAAGCTTTCAGTTATTCCCAAGCTCAAACAGGAGGGAAATGAATTGTATGCAAAAAAGGAATATGAAGCAGCAGCAGACAAGTATGCTAAAGCTCTGGGTCTACTGGAACAGCTGTCTCTACGTGAAAAACCAGGTGATGATGAATGGGTTCAACTTGACAAGATGAAAATACCGTTACTTTTGAATTATTCACAGTGTAAGCTTTTACTTGGAGACTATTATGAGGTCATTAGACACACAAGTACAGTACTGGAAAAAGATAATGATAATGTAAAAGCAATTTATAGGCGTGCTAAGGCTCATAAAGCATGTTGGAACCCAGATGAAGCTAAAAATGACTTTAAAAGAGCTGCAGAACTGGATGAGTCACTAAAAAAGGCAGTCAAAAAAGAATTAGATGAGCTAGAACAAATGATCAAAGAACAAAATAATGATGATAAGGATAAACTTAAAAAGCTGTTTAGCAGTAGGTGTGTGTGATGTGTAATTTTATAAAGTGTCCATAATTTCCCTGTCATAAAAGATTGACCTTTAGGTATGGGCAGGATGTGAAAGAAGCACCATACGTAGTTTAGTAATTCATTTATTGGGGATGGGATAGCTGCTAGGAAAGAAATTGAAGTCAGAGAGGTTTGGACATTTTTATGAAATTATGGATTAACACATTATGAGTAAGTTATTTATATAACAGAAAATATGAGAAAGTCTATTAATATTCTATGTATTTTTACTTCAATGTTTCTTTAAAATGATTTTTACCTTTAAGCTCAAAATATTATGTTTTTTCCAAATAACACATCAAATTTATCAGTCGGAGTCCATCTGTAGAGCTGTATTTCATGTTTTACATATACAAGAATGGGCTTTTTATCAAGTATTATCAACATCACCAGAATTAAAAGCAATCTTTTAAATTAGAAAGAGATAATTTTTAAAAGAAGTTATATAAATGATGTGGTTTAAAATGTCTCATGTATAGTACTAATAGGCTAGAAAACTACTAATATAAATCTACTTGATTATGAAAAAAATTATATCACAATGTAACATGATCCAAATAAAGCTGATGTAAATGTAGCAGGCTAAGAAAAATGAAAATCTGTGTTTCTATTAAATCCCCCTGTCCTCTCTCTCTCTTCATATGCTAAATATAAATTAATATTTAACCTTAGCGAAGGGCTCCAAATAAGCTGTTTATATCATTAGACAGGCTTTGTTTGCAAGCATAAAATTGGGTTACCTGTGGTTTTTTGTTGGTATGTTTATTGCATTGACCAATCAGAGAGCTTGATATAACGTGCTTGTGGTCATCAGTACGCGACCTCAGCTGTTCGCTGGAAAACATCGAAACGAAACGAAATTTAAAGCAAATTTAAACAAAATTTATACACAATGTCGAACAAATTGATTACAGATACTTTTCCTACAGTCAAGAAGCAAAAGGTTATCAAACAAAAGCCTCAATCGGCGAAAACGCAAGATAAAAAAGCTGAAGTTAAAAAGATAGGTATGTTGAAGTTGTTTGTCGACGTCTTGCTTATTTACACCAGGTGTTACTTAAATTAAACTAGTTTATTTATCTCTTTGCTAGATGTGGGTGTTTCTGTCCAAGACGAGAAAACACGTTTATCGTTACTCAAAGAGTTTGATTTAAACTCCGAGTATGGTCCATGTATAGGTTAGTACAAAGGGATCCTTACAAAGTTCCTTGTTGTGAGTCTACTACAGACCATGAGCACATGCTTGCATCAGGGTCTTGTATTATGATTGTGATTGCGTCAGGCTAATAGTAAAGCCAGCTATACCAATATTTTATACGTAGATGCAGAAAAATATCTAAAAGAGAGTTTGTTTACCTTAGCCCACTAACCCTACTACATGAAGGGAGATGTGGATGTTTCCCTGTACTACATGTTACAATAACAATTTAACTAAATGTGATCTTTTCAAACATTAGGAATATCAAGGCTGCAGAGATGGGAGAGAGCTGAGAAGTTTGGTCTACATCCATCACAAGATATCAAAGATATCATAACACAACATCTAGATGATGAAACATATACTGAATGGTAATGTGCTTCTCTGTCAAAACCAAATTTACCAAGGTTGCCACAGGGACCAGGGACCACAGAGCAAAGTTTTGAGTGGGAGGCAAATCTGGGGGGAGTCAAGAGGAATGCTCCCACCCCTCGTGAAAATTTTGAAATAGAGACTTTGCACCATCACGTGATGGCAGCCATGATAGGAGGCAAAACAATAGTCTTTTTTCCCCAGGCAAACTGAATTTATTCTCATGTGAATCAGATTAGACCAGATTCAATTGTTCCTGCCTCCTTTTATGGCTGCCATCACATGTTGGGGTAAAGCCTCTATTGAAGCTCTCAGAAATGTGACTTCAGATATTCAACTTATAAAGTGGTTTCATGATGGCCATGCTGTAGGCAAAATACAAATTTTCTGTTTGAAAAAATAATTTTTTTTGTGTAAAAAGTTGCATTGCTTTTGCCAAACCACATAGCTGTTGTGAAATCCCTCCATACATTTAGTTCTTTCAGTACTTGAATGTATAGAAACTAAATTCTACTTACCAGCTTACTTCTATTTTTGCAGCATTTGGAAAGATGAGAAACTATAGTAAAAAACACCTATTTCCTGGCTCAGAATTTGGAAACACTAATATTGGAAGTTGCCATGAATGAGTAGTGCCCTGTGGAAATAATAGGTTCTACAATAATACAAAATACAAACATTACATTCATAACCCGAAAGGAGAAAAATTAATTTTGAAATCCCAATAGAGGTTTTGCACCATCATGAACATCAGGAACAATACAATCGTTTTACATGAGAAAGAATTCAATTCCTGAAAACAAAGGGATTTTATTGTTCTGCCATCTAACCACAGGCAGCCCAAGCTGTAGTATGAGCGTTGGCATGTGATGGTGCTAAACCTCTATTACCAATATTTAATATAAAGTTACTAAAAATTTGACATGTACCGATTCTCAAAACTGTAATTTTTTAATTGAAAGACTGTATATATTTCTCATAAATATTGAAGTAAAAGGCAAAGAAAAAGTAAAATAAACAATGTCTTTTCATTTATTTGATGATAATTACTTGGTATTAATCTACAAAGGGTCAAAAATATATGTAAGAAGTTATACATTGTTTYATGCATTAAACTTTTTAAAAAGATGGTTGGAGTTTGTATTAATAACAATTTATTACATGTTATCAGCTAATTTTTTTGTATTTAAAAACAAGTTGTTTATGTTTTCACCCGAGCATGCATATGTCCTTTTCTTCTTCTTCTTCTGTCCAAAAGCATTGATAACAGTCTGACATAGTTGTAGACATTGTAGAAACATGAACACAGCTTTATATATGGAACTACATTATTTACATGGGGCAATATTAGAATACTAAGTATCATACAGCTACTTGCTTTGGACTGGGCATCATCTTGACAATATTGTAACACTCCAGGCTACAAACAGGAAGGTTGTTGTTGGAACAGTTGTACTTTTTGTCATTTGTGCAACCTCGTGCAGTACACTTCTCTCTTGGTTTTGGTGGGCTATGAAAAATAAGAAGGATTTTTTAACCCCTTTTTGAAAACCAACAAAGTTTTATGAATCAAGTTTCTATAGTATACTTATTTTGGACCCTCCCCATTCCTTGAACACTGCATGGTTATTACAAGATTGGTTATGTAAAAGCAGAGGAAACTCCTTACTTGACGGCAACCTCTCCTTGTAATGGGAACTCCAAGCCAGGTGGATATGAAAGAGAAAAGCCATCTTTTCTGCTTAAATATCTTATATGTGGCTTGGCAGCTTTCTGACGTCGAGCCTGTAACCAGTAATATTTGAATTTTAATTCCATTCTTCTCAAAGAGTTACTGACATTCTAATTTTTTCTTACCTTTTCCTCATCTTTTTTTGCCTTGTTTGTCTCTCTTTCCAAGAGCTTTTTCACTGTTTGTGCCTAGTTTATAATATTTTAACAATAATGGTTGATGCAAAATGTAAACTATCAATATCGGAACGAACTATCTTACACATACATGCCATATAATAACTAACCTTATTATCTTCTATTTGTTTTTGCATTTGTTGTTTTCTTTTCTTGGCCCTTTGTCTTCTCTTTTTCTGTGCTTCTTCTGAATCTTCATCTTTTCTTCTTGTTTCTAAATATAGAACAAAAATATTAAATTGGGCCAATCCTTCTACACTTTTTTCTAAATCTAAAGTCTATACAGAAGTCTGAGTGTGAGAGAGTAAGTGACTACCCAATATATTCACTTGAAAGTGCTGGATTATTAGACCCTTTGCAGCATACAGTATTTGGTACAGCTCAATTTGAAGGACAAAATATAGTTGTATGCTTTAAATACTCCATTTTGAGTTCTCTGTTGCTCATGGTTAGCTTTGACATTGTGCAAGCATTCACATGTTCCAGTGAAGGTCTGTAGGATTTTAAAGTGTTGGTATTGTCGAAGTTGTACATTCACTGTTGGTATTTGTGAATATTTAAACACT